AGGAGGAAACAATTGGCCTGCCTTTATAAAATATATCTTTAATTTTTTAAAGATATATTTCAATGATATATAATTGAAATTTAAAATTAATTATATATATAAATAAATACTATATTTGAATATATAAATTATATTTAAAATTTAAATATGTAGACATTTTAAAATTAATTTGTATTTTAGATTTATAAAAATAATTTATGTTGTACTACAAGATTATTTTAATTTACTGATAATTTATTTTTAAAATATTAAAATTTAATTCATAAATAATTATAATAAATAAAAATTAAATTAGATATGAAGTTGAAAGAATCTTTAAAAATCCTTTCATCGAAAAAAAATCTCTAAAAATACTTTCATACAAGATAGTTCATATTATATATAGAAGAGTTGATTTTAAAAATTATTTTGTTAAATCAAAAATCTTATCTTTAAGACAACAAATTGATCTCTTAAGTTTTAATATTGACAAATAGAAGATTTTCTTTAAAGTACAAGTCTGGATTCTTTGAAAATATAACAGATCAGACGAAATGTGAAGATAGTACATATCATTTGTAAGATGAAAGAAATCAGACAAAACATATGTTCTGTCTGACCTCCATTAAATGAATAAAACTAACATTGCACTTGCTTTAATGTGTTATTCCTCGATAGATCAAATAAAAAAGGAACTCTGAAAGTCTCAGAGAGCATTAATGAGGAAAAAGATAAAATTTTCATGAGAATGCAAAAGCACAATCTCGAATATCACGAAAAAAAGATGAAAAGGACTGCGCTCTACACTAGTCTCAACTACTCTACACTAATACTCTCTCTACAGTCAAAGGTAAAAGAAAATGATGATAAGTAGTTGTCTGGATTGGATAAGAAGTAGACACATCTTCATAAGCATTTAATGCTCACATTAAATGCATTAACAATACTTTCTACTATTAGCTAGGAAGACAGACGAAGCAACTGGTAAAGAAATTTTAACGTTTAAATTTGAATGTTGCTACAATGGTTATCTTCCTAGAAGCTATTATATAAAGATCAAGTCTTTAAACATCGAGGTGTGAAGAACCTATATTGTATATACATACACAAAGAAAAAGCTCTATTCAAAAATAGTTCAACATTTCTTGAGCAGTTCATCATGAAAAAGTCATTAAAACATCAAGTTGAAGCACTCCAAAGAAGATCACATCTGTAAATTCTATATCTAGATCTTTGTAGTATTTTTGGTAGCATCACGTTTAGAAGAGATGAAGCTATACTTGTAACTCTTATCAAACTTATTTGTAAGGGTTGAGCTTGGAGAGGTTTGTGTTAAAGAATACTTAGTGGTTGAGCCTGAAGAGACTTATGCTAAAGAATACTTGAGTTTAAGTCTAGAGAGACTTGTTGAAAGAATAATTGGGTTTTAGCTAGAAGTGGCTTGTAAAGATTACTTGTTATTTAGCTAGAAGTAGCTTGTAAAGAATACTTGTTGTTTAACCAAAAATAACTTGAAAAAAATATTTGTATCTTGGATAAGATAGTAGAACTCAAAGTGAGGGTTGTGGTGGTAGTGGATACAATCACAGTGGTGATGGCAATAAATATGGTGGTTATCTAGTGTAGAGAAACTATTTTGCTTATATGCACCTTATTTTAATCTAAAAGATGCTAATTATTGAACATGGTGGACCACTTATTGAGATTGACAACCCTAAAATTTGTCTTATGAAACACATAATATACTTAAATGTTCTTTTAACTATCATATTTGTTGTCATAGATAATAGTAAAAATATTTGTGGATACTTAATCAAAATTCTCTCTTTTAAAAGGAAAATATTTGCTAAGAGTTTTAAATGCATAGTTCACATAGGTTGTGGAGTAAACGGACACCCAATAAGTCTTGATTCATATACTCAACTCTATTTCTAATGTTGATTTATGTATGAGATATTGATTGTATTGTACTCGATAGCAAGCCATTCAAGTGAGTGAAGAACTTAAATTTGTAAGTTTGGTGTGTAAAAATAAAATAAAATAAATTGTTTAAACCCTAATGATACACGAATATCCCTTTGTTACAAATACCCTATTGTTGTATATCTATATATCTTTTTTATCACATCACATGTCATTGTATTTATCACTTATTATATTTCATTGTCTCTTAATGTGTTGATGGACACACCTGAATGTCCACCGAACACTATCTTTATTTAAACAGATTTAACTAAAAGATTGAACACTATTTTTTATAAATAAAACTTGAATTTAACTTGTTTAACCTTAACTTATTTGTAGCTAATCTTATCCATTTTACTGTGCAAATGTTTTTTTTATACTAATAGTTATATTTTTTTACACTATATATAATATAACATCAATATCAAGATTGTAGCCTTAATTCATTTAAATAATTGAAATCAACATCAAACTTAAATTTAATAATCTAATTAAATATATAAACTTGATCAAACATTTTATAAATAAAGCTCAATATTCACAAAAAATTCAGATCATGTCGTTGCTCTTATCATCATCTTCTTCGTTTTAAATGGACGTCGCCAATGTTTTAATCAAATTTCTTTTTAAGTAGACCTCACTAATTTTTTTAATAGGTGTTAGTTAAAAGTCACACGACAAATAATTGAAATAAAAAGTAAATGAACCTCACTAATTTTTTTAATAGGTTTTTGTACAAATGTCAAAATGTAAATTACTGAAATAAAAATTATGGAATAGGCTGTGATTCGTGAAACCTGTTTAAGAAAATTTTATAGTTGTTGAATTAAAAAAAATTACTTAAACTAGTAAAAATAATGTAACATAAAATAATATAAGAAACTATATACAATCATTTTTAACGATTCAGATAAGGCTCAATGAAGAAACAATTGCAATATAACAACTTGATATTTTAGTATTGATTTTTTTTAAAAAAATTATACTATAATTTATTTAAAATATTTTAAAACAGTATCTTACATTCTTACTATATTAAATAGTGTAGATCACACAAATCTTAGTACGTATTTGCAGCAGCTAGATCTACACACAGTTACAGTTACATCATCCAAGTCAACTAACTCTAACATTACACCAGCTTCCCTTCACGTAGTGCATGTGAATTACATTACATCAATGCATTTATTTATAGCGACTAATAAATCTATTATTTGAAATACAAAACACAACACTGACGCTGATGGATACGATGAAATAAAGTGTATTTTCCTTGTATTATACGTGCAATGAGACAAAATGCTTACTATTTATGAACCCTTATATATCACAACTTTTTAAATGAAAAACCAAATTAAAAAAAAAAAAACTCATAATTTCTAGTTGAATAAATAAAATAAAATAAAATAAGCAAACAGTAATCGAAGGGAAAAATAAATGGAAGACTAAGAAAACATTGGACTAGAAAAAAATTTCAAGGACTAAATTATATTTTTTTGAAAATGGAAAACCAAATGAAAAAATTGAACGATTTAATATGACTAAAATCACATTTAAACTTTTCATAAATAAATTTAAGTCACATTATGATATTAACCAAAATTCTTATAAACTAGGAAAGACATTTAAGATCAACATATAGATGAGTTTTATTGAACCCGAATCTTTAAGTAAAATCTTAGATTCAAGTCTTATAGATGATTAAAAAAAAAAGTAATTAAAAAAAGAGATTTACTAAAAGTAATCAACCAAACTTTTTGACAGAAATTAATTATTGATAAGGTTAATAGATATTTCACACATGATTACCAATGAAATTTCAACTCAATATCAAGAGATTTATAACCACTTATACTAACTAATCAACTCAGTTGGACTACTTTTATCGATCAAACCATAATTGAACACATTAATAAAATAATAAAAATTATATAGTACATAAAATAATATTAAAGAAACATAATATCACAACTAAACTAAAAATAAAACCATTTTATTGGCCGGTAACATTTAAAGTACACTAAAGTACAAATCAATATTACAATATCTATAATAAGAAAACAATTTTGCATCTATAATAAGAAAAAAAGTGACAAATATTTTAGATTGATTTTTATTTTTTAAAAGAAAAAAAAAGTGCATCGTACTAGACATTTTTTATTGATCCTCTGTGAACCAATTTTTTTTTACCAATTTATAGCCGATTTTTACCAATTTTCAATTCAATGACTGAATTTTCTCCAATAGAAACAAACCACCAGTCCAATTTTCAAAACACAATAACATTCAAAGTTTTCATCAATTGAATAGAAGGCCAAAAAATGATGTACACATACACAGTGCGCGCACTACCCTGAAGTAGGCGTTAATCACAGTAAAACTATATGCCCAGCTACTCTGGCTTTAGTAACAAGTATACCTAACTGATCTATTTCAGACACCTTACCAACCAAAAAACACAGCAGCAATTCACCAGTCATGAAAATATGCACTGCTTGTATCAATTTTTGAATGAGAACCATCTCAACAGCTTTCATCATGCATTGTTTTGTATCATTGTATATAAGCAGTTAGCTCCCTACCTGGTCATGAGCTCCTAGCCTTTTGGCTTCTTTTAACTGCATCTATAACTTTGCTATAGTAACGCCAGGATGGATTTGTTTCTCTTATGGGCCGTTGGCCAAACGGATTTTCCGCCACGTGCTTTTGCACATTCTCAGCCTTAACCAGCCCTTCTAGATAAACCCGAAGATCACCTCCTGATCCTGTGAACAGAAGAATGGAGGCTTAACATGAATTTCATACCAATGTGCTTAAAGGGTGTGGGAATGGAGATGAAGATGAGCATAAGGCTATCCCACCTAATTCTGAGTCTCTGGTGTGATAGTACCGGTAAGAACAAGGAAATATTGCCGTATGCTTCTGAAAATAAATTGCATATGTGGAAATCAAAATATAAGAGGAAATTGCATATAAAAATAAAAAAATAAAAAAATAAAAAAAAAAGCAAAGAAAGAGAGCTTACAGGATTCATTAATGCCTTGTAAGGGGAATCATCCAATAATAATGTGTTTGATTCATTAAACTCTCCCTTCTCCCATGGTAGATCAGGGTCTTCCTTTTCCCACAACTTTCTAAGTTCCTTCAACACAAGGGGCTTCTCTTTATTCTCAACAGTAGTGAATCGTGTTCTAGTGCAGTGGGACTGATTCTGCATATAACATTATACAAAGATTAATAGCATCTAGAGAAATTCCAAGCAGGAGTGGATTGATAACAGTAACCATTTTCAAGGTACAAGTTATAACCACATCATTAAAGATGGCAATACAAACTATTTTACTAAAGTGCAATTATGATTTAACAACATCAATCCAATTCCATTTTTGTCCAAACTGAAATCCATCCACACAAAATTCAAACTAATGAAAACTAGAATTGCAAGATTGCTTCTGTTTGGTAATGATAACAAAAAACATACAACTGATGATATGGAAAATCCTGCAGAGAAGATATAAGTCAGTCTGGAAGCAAAAGTAAAACAAGTTATAATGTAGAGACATGAGATGTTAACGGAGAAAAATTAAATAGGTCACAGGAATATTACAATGCTCTGTTGATCACCAAAATTTCCTGTCACTCAAAATGCAAGGAATAAATATAAATCAATCTCAATAACCACTCAGGTACACACAACAAAAGCCCAGTTAGAGTAAAAATGTTAATACAGTACAACTAGACAGAAGATGTATCCTAATTCTTAATGATGAGGAAAATAAATCATTTGTAGCAGATTAAAATACCTAACCAGGAACCAAGAGGCTCTAAAAATTATGCTAGAAACTACAAAAGATTTAGAACAGATTACCCAACAGAAGAGCAGTTTGGATGCAGACTTCCCCATAAGAAATGCGATTGCCTCATCAACATTCCTCCTGCCAATATAGGCACAGTAATAAATGTATGAAGACCGCTTTTCTATTGCTGAAATGCAAATCAGCCAGTCCATGATTGCATCCTAAGCCTAAGACAAAATAATAAAGAAAAACAATGAGATAAAATCAGTCATAGATTGGCAAATACTTGGCTCTAGATGACCATACTCCCACATGAAATCTGTCAAAACAAAACTGTAGGAAATCATCACAAAAGGGCCTCTTGTAGACTGCAAAAGGAAAAAGTAACATATCAGTCAAATTTTACCTAGACCAAGATATGAAATCTGGAATGAGGAAAAAAGATATTTGACCATATCACCTTTTTTCCCATTAAGAAAAATATCTGGCTCTGGATCATTATATCTTATACGAGCATCACTGACACTGACAAAATCAGCAAGGAGTCCATTCACATCAAGGATGAGAAGCTTATTCTTTGAGTTGCCAGCAACACTTCTGTCTAGTGAGAATTGTGAAATCTTTAAATGACCATCTCTTACTCTGTCTAAGCTTAAATCAGAAATATCACCTGCACAGGACAGATCATTTCTTGTAATCTCAGTATGATCAAGCTGTCTACTGTTTGTTTCAAGCTGCTCCACAGGAATATCTACTACAGAAGATGTAGTCATAAATCTTTGCTCATTAATGTTGTCACCGCTCAACTTTATTTCCTCAGCTGCAGCTCCACTTTGAGAGGTAACTTGATCAATTGAAAGCTTCGTCTCGCCATCCATCAAGCCAACTCTCAATGGTCCATCAGAAAATTGCTCTGATTTATCCTTATGATGATCCTGAATAGTTGGTTCCTTGTTACAATTTTCAGGACTTGTGTAACCACTATTTTCCTTACAATGGAAATTTACCACTTTTTTCCTTGTGTAGATTTTAACAGATAGATTATTATCAGAGAAGTCAACTGCTGGGTCATCAGCACCTTCATGCTCAACAACATCACCTTGTTTTCTCTTTCTCGACATTTTCTGCTTGTCTGGTGAATTTACATCCTCTGTACTAGTTAAAGAACCTCCCGAATTGGTTGTTGCTGGAGGCTCCATATGCAAATCATTTACCACATCCATCAATCACAAATCTTTAAATGCTAATGCGCCTCCTAAACTAGAAAATATGCAGTGGCTCCAAATCCACTACCAAACCAATAGTGATGATTGAAGATCAGCGCACGTTTCTCTCTATCTAGATATCTTTTACAGGTTCACCTAGCAAATCCACGTTTCTTCTTATCTATACATATTATACAGGGAGTTCAACTTCCCGGGCAAAATTCCCTACCGAAACTATACTCCCATCTATCTCCACGTCCTCTTTCTGTCCCCCCACCCTAAAAAACCTACAAGAATAGTCAATGGAAACATTCAATACGGCGAAACAAGCTTTCAGAACTCCAAATAGTGTCCTAAATTCACTAATCCACCCCAATAAATGAAATTTGAATAGCCAAATCCCAAACCACAAGTGGTTTAGATAAACAAAAATCCAAAACAACATAATACCAAGAGAAAAATATGCTGAATGCATAAACAACTAAACATAACTCCAAGGTTTTAAAATCGGTCATGGCAAGGTCTTTGCCAAGGTTTTCAGGATGTCCACAGCCACAACTTTAGCCGCATTGGCCACATTTGTTTCAGAAATGCGACCACAACCTTTTACAATTTAAAACCCTGCATAATTGATAATTCCCCCGTTGGGTTTCAAGCATTGACCACGAGACCATATCTTTCTTTTTTATTTTCATTTTTTAAAATAAGATAAAAAAAAAAAAAACAAATTGGCTTGCTTTCTCCCTGCTGAAAATGAAAATCCAAAACACAACAACAATGTGCAAAGAGGACTCAGATTCACTTTCATGATTCCATCAGCAAAAGCAAGAGCAAAGAATAAGATAAAAAA